CTCAGACCATCTTGTATTCAGCCAAGAGGCATTATGAAGGTGGCGGCAGAAGCAGACTCCAGGGATTCATGTTCCTGTCTCTAAGCGGTCTGCTCCTTCCGTCTTTTTGATCAACACCTAACCCTAACCAAAGGAACTCCAGCTAGTGCAACAAATTCTCTGATGATCAGTGAAGCAAAAGGTTATAAATGGGGGTAAAGGAGACCCTGTGGATAGGGGGATCACTGGGGGTTCAATGGGTGATGTAATGTGAATGTTATTGGGTTGATTTATGAACCATTCACACAGCAAATAACTATGCAACAGCACTTTATGGCCACTAGATGGAGCTGAGGAGCAAATGAATTTTCTATGCTCATCAGCTCCTTCTCGTGGCCATATTGCAGTATTACATTTCTAATGCTCCTCAGCGCCATCTAGTGGCCACATTGCAGTATTAAATTTCTAACATCTAGTGGCCATAGAGTAGTATTACATTACATATGCTCCTTGGCTCCATCTAGTGGCCATATTGCAGTATTACATTTCTAATGCTCCTCAGCGCCATCTAGTGGCCACATTGCAGTATTAAATTTCTAACATCTAGTGGCCATAGAGTAGTATTACATTACATATGCTCCTTGGCTCCATCTAGTGGCCATATTGCAGTATTACATTTCTAATGCTCCTCAGCGCCATCTAGTGGCCACATTGCAGTATTAAATTTCTAACATCTAGTGGCCATAGAGTAGTATTACATTACATATGCTCCTTGGCTCCATCTAGTGGCCATATTGCAGTATTACATTTCTAATGCTCCTCAGCGCCATCTAGTGGCCACATTGCAGTATTAAATTTCTAACATCTAGTGGCCATAGAGTAGTATTACATTACATATGCTCCTTGGCTCCATCTAGTGGCCATATTGCAGTATTACATTTCTAATGCTCCTCAGCGCCATCTAGTGGCCACATTGCAGTATTAAATTTCTAACATCTAGTGGCCATAGAGTAGTATTACATTACATATGCTCCTTGGCTCCATCTAGTGGCCATATTGCAGTATTACATTTCTAATGCTCCTCAGCGCCATCTAGTGGCCACATTGCAGTATTAAATTTCTAACATCTAGTGGCCATAGAGTAGTATTACATTACATATGCTCCTTGGCTCCATCTAGTGGCCATATTGCAGTATTACATTTCTAATGCTCCTCAGCGCCATCTAGTGGCCACATTGCAGTATTAAATTTCTAACATCTAGTGGCCATAGAGTAGTATTACATTACATATGCTCCTTGGCTCCATCTAGTGGCCATATTGCAGTATTACATTTCTAATGCTCCTCAGCGCCATCTAGTGGCCACATTGCAGTATTAAATTTCTAACATCTAGTGGCCATAGAGTAGTATTACATTACATATGCTCCTTGGCTCCATCTAGTGGCCATATTGCAGTATTACATTATACTCCTCAGCTCCATCTAGTGGCCATATTGCATATTTTAGGGGGGGGGGGCAGAGTTCTCCTTTAATATTCAGATTGTGTTGGGCTGTTCTCACCGGTCACGTTGATGGACATGATGACGTCTTTGCTCACGTTGCCCACCGTGTCGATGATGGCCGCCGCGTGAATGACCAGGTCAACCCCTTGGCAGGACCTGTGCAGGAAGTCGCTGTCTCGGATGTCGCCTTGCAGCGTCTTCACCGTCGCCACGCCCTGGAAACCTGCCGGGGATCGTAAGACGCATTTCAACCCTTGGCAGCAAAATAAAAAGTGGACCTGTCATTCGTACAGCGTGGGTGCACGCCGACATACCAATCCCAATATTATTTTTGAGAAGAGCCTCAGTCCTGCCAGATGACTATCCGTGCCTTCCTGTCCCTGTGACAACCGGCCTCACATTCCTTGTACAGGTGTCACAGGAACAGGAAGTGAGGGAAAATCTCCCCGATGTGGTCACAGACAGAAATAAAGACCTGACAAGGATACTAAAAACAAAAATGTAATTTATTGCGTCATACCATTCCCTAAAGTTCTTGTTTAAATCTGCTTATATTTTGCCCTTCCCCCTCCCATAGGATCATCACTAGTGATCCTATGATGGTCCTCCATGGTGTTTCCTGTTATAGGATGACAACGCTCTGTCCCCACCTTCCAATTGTGCTTCTGTGTTGTCACCCTGCCGCACAGGCTTCCAACGAAGACTACAGGCGGCCATTTCCATTACATAGACATAGAGCACTGTTGCCACCATCAGGAACCCCCCCCCTGAAAGATGCCGTGCAGCCATTGCTAGAGTGCATAGAGGCAGGAAGTGACCACAAAGAGGCTGCAGGAAATCAGCAGCACCGACTGAGCACTAAATGTCATCCAGTTTGGTTTTAAATCTCTCTGGGGGAAAATGAAACCATTTGCAGCCATCAAATTCACCCGGCTTGTGGCTCAGATTTGGTGGGGGGAGGGTGGGGGAGTCTGCTCAAATATGTGCTGCATTGGGCAGGGGCGTACCGAGGCCGGGTGCGGCCTTGGTGGACGCCGGCAGAGAGAGGAGGGAACATTCACCTGGCGGTATGAGGGTCCCCTCCTTTCTCCTGACACTGTCGGGCTCTCTGTCCATGACCGAGTGCCTGACTTTTTAGAGAGGGTGACACCAAAATGACTGTCACTCATTTTGGTGTCACCCCTCCAATGGTGTCACCCGGGTGCGGGCCGCACCCCCCTTGTGACGACACTGTGCGTGGGATCTGTACATATGAGGACTGTATGCACCGAGCGTGCGATTCCAGAACACATAGACAGGTCCCAGCCGCAAGGTGGGGGGCTGCACTCTGCATTAGAGGATCCAGTCAAAAATGGATAATAAAAAAAAAAAGTGGTAAAAAAATTATAAAAAATTAAACCCAATCCTGCCACCCCC